TACAGCAATGAACTGACTGTGTTGTGCACAGGACAGCTGATTCAGCAAGGGTGGTGAACGGCAGGTAAGTAGGATGAAGGCCTCCTCCCCACCTTAGTGAACAGCTTGAAGCTCCACACCTCTTTCAAAAGAGAAGCTACAGCCGAGCTCTACTAGAATGGAATGTGCCGGGCTGTCATTCCTGCAGGCAGCAGTGTGGGAACAGAGCAGACTCTTCCTACCTTCAGTCTTACCTGACGTCACATATAATGTTGTACCTTGAGGTTTAGGATACCAACCAGGCTGCACTCGAGCGTCACAGAGATTCAGAACTCTTGGCAAATTTCGAACTTGCTTAATAATTAACTAATCAAAGTTTCAGAATAAGAGCTGAAATCATGTCAGTTACTGACATGAAGGAATTGTAACTGTTTTATGTGAAGGTGTCCCCACAATAATCTTCAAAGATTATTGAAAGCCACCGTTATCTGTAACGGGGACCATCTAAGAATCTTCAATTATAAATAAATATTTTTTGAGAAAAAAAAGCAATTCAACCCTTTGAAGATGAACTGCTGAGAATACTTTAAAGACAAGCACACAGTTTAAATATTACTCATTGGAAAATTTGGAATATTTCAAATATAAATTAGAAATACTCAGGACTTAGGTCCTTTATGGATTAGGATATTTAACCAGGAAAACTGGGACAAATATTTCAAAATCTGGTATCTGAGATATTTCTTGTACTTCAGATTCTGACGGAGGGACACAGTTACTACCACGGCCACTGTTCACTCTAAATGACCGGGTACATAGAAAGTAGAGTAACAGTAATCTCACCTCTGGAATGGAAACCTGGTTAGCTCATTCTTACCAAATGAGGTGGTGAGAACAGAAATGAAGGTCTAACACGCACAGCAACCGCCATATTGCACTGAGATACCCGTGTCCCTCACAAGACACAGGGAGGGGGCTTTGTAACACAGTGGAGAATTTGTAGTATTGCTACTTGAGCCTTCCAAAAAGACATTTTCTATGTTAAAGAATTATAAATGTCTCTCTTCAGTACATTATTCAATGCCTCAGTTTCTGAGGACTTATACATAGAAAAATTCACTAAACTACTTGAGGTTTTGTGTTTTCGGAGTCAAATGGTAATATGTGCACAGTAATTAGTCATTGACAACCCAGCTGCAAAACCACTTCCTCCCTGGCTTCCTATGGTTCCTTCCAACTGCACCAGTCAAATATGACAGAGTTCCTTATGCTTTACATTGTGACATACCATGAATAGGGTACTTACATGCTTCCACTATGAAAATGTTTTTCAAATAATCTCAATCTTGCCATCCTCTTTTCAATACAGTGTTTATGTTCAAATTGTCATAGTGCTGATTAAATAATTATAAACCAACCAGCCACAAGTATACTACAGTTTAAAAATGGTTCTTGAGCTGCTATATTTGTAATGATTTCTTTATTTATGCCAATGCCCCATACCCCATTTGAAGATCTGATAATGGGCCAACAACATGTAGTACCAGAATTTAATTTTTTTTTCAAGTTCTGCAGCAACCAGATATGGAGCCCTCCCGCACTTAGATCCAATGGACGGATGTGTGCTTTTTACATCTAGAATGAAATTCGCCTGTAGAACACTAAGCTTGACACTTGCACTAAAACCTGCTGTGTACCTAAGTGTGTGTATGGTGTACATGTCTTGCAGTAGCCCTGTCCGAGCCCAGGGGCTAGACTTGCCAGACACTCTCTTTGCTCCCCACACCCACCATTTTTGCTGCTCCTCCCTGGCCTGCTTCCAGATGCTGCCCTTCATGACCGAAGTGGGCCAGTAAGAGAGACGGAGAAAGGGTTAGTCATTAATGTGTCAGAAATGATCCAAGGCACGGACAGCTCCCCACACTTGAAACACCACATGTAAAATATTTTCTGTGTATATGGTCTCTCATGTGAAAGAACTGGAAGCAAAGATGTCTCCAATGTTTTCGGGTTACAGAAGGCCTGCATAAAAGACCTTGCAAGCCACTATCCACATTGGAAAGTCTAGCTATACTGCCTGTCAGTGAAAATATACCAACACATAATCCCAATCCATCCTCTCAAGAACACGTACTTTTAAAGCATAGACAATCGTAGGAAGTAGTGTTCGCATGTTTTCCTCCATGCCCTCATATCCTCTGATGTTTCCATTGTGTCTGTAATGACGACTTGCACATAGAAGTCTTGTTATTCTTCTAGGTGATCTGCTAATCAAGTTACAAATCTCATTATGATACTGTGTCCCAGAGGAAAAGAAGCAGGCAACAGAGGGGAAAAACATGCATGGAAAGATCAAGGGTTTTCTTCCATGAAATTTAAAAATGATACTAATGGTAAACTATGTGACCGTTAGGTGTCCCTTTAGTGTACTTACTATGTTCTAAATAATGGGGACCTCTGGACAAAGCAGTGCTGGAGGACCGAGGTACTTCAGAACTAGTAGGTTGCAATGACAAGAAGCAACTGTGTATACATACATATGACAAGGTTCACTGAGCTGCCATGAGTTCCCAAATTTAAAAACTACAATGCCAAGAGTCAGGTGGCTGGTGTCTTAGGAAGGCGCCCCTTGGCCTGTGATGTTCACTTTAGGATTTTCTTCAGTCTCACCATGGTTTTTTGTTTTTGTTTTTTTATTTTTCTCATTTTCCTAAGCTAGCGATATGGAGGTCACGCCTCACAGGGGTCAGCAGTGTACCTCAGCTCCTAGCCAGCTGTGTGGTTACATCAGCCTCCAGAGGCATGCACCCTAGTCAGAAATAAGTTTAAGTTCAGAATGGATTTTGGGGCCACATGGCCACGGTATGCTGAAGAGAGCCCATCTCCATTATCAACTTTCTGTTAGTAATCATCGGGGGCTTGGGAGGGGAAGAAACAAAAAGGCTCAGATCCAGTAAGGCGGCTGTCCTCACAGTTTACGTCCCAGCCCAGGCGCTGAGGTGTCTGGCACACCTGTTGTACACTCAGCCCATCAGACTGAATGGCAACCCTTTAAATGTAGTTAGTGCCTCATCTACAATGACGTACATACACACTTCATACAGATGCACTGAGCACTCAGTGGGACCACACTGATATTGCCTTGAACGTTTATTTTCTTAACCGTGGACAAAATTATTTATTCAATGACCAATTGTAAATAACATATTTATTCTCAGAATCATCTTGAAGAATGAATAAAGTAATGAAGGGGAGGACTTGCTTGGATTACAGAGCAGAACCTTATTAGAATATGTTTATCCATGTACTGTCTGAGGAAGGCAGATGCTCTCATTACTATGGAGAATTATACCTTGCATGTCAATTTTAGCCTATGTATTATATGGACAGCATAGCTCCAATCTCTACTAACCCACCCTGCAGTTATGGCTTCACAAAGGTAAAACTGTTAAAACAGACACTGGAAATTGTTTAACTGTTGAGAAGGATTTCCTCTTTTGTCCCAGGAAGACACAGTAAGCTGTATGCTTTCTGAGCTTGCATCTGTCTGTTTACTGTTGTTGCTTTTAAGGTAAAGGACCAAGAGCACAGAACAAAAGCCAGCAACATGTTGGAAACATTTACATATGACACAACTGAGAAAGGAGTTGCCACCCTAAATATACAAAGAATCATTAAAAACTAAACTAGCAGTGCCAGTTATAGAAAGGGGGAACGTACTGGGAATAAGTAGACACTATCTCAAGGAACACACAGGAAGAAAGGAACACATGAGAAGGAGCTCTGTGCTCTGGGTCATTGAGGGATAATAAACCAAACAAGGAACTGTTTATAAAACGACTAACATTCGAACACTGTCAACACTAAATGGATGGAAAGTGCGGGCAACAATCCTGTCCTCTCTTTTACTGTAATTAAGCAAAACAGTAAAGACAGTTTGTGGGTCCCGCACCATGCCTCCTCTCACCAATGAGAGTTGGGGGAGGAGGAGGATGCAGGAAAAAGGATTTCTCCTTGTAGTCCAGGATGGCTTAAAACTCATAATCTTCCTGCCTCAGCCTGCTAAGAGCCAGGATTTACAGATAGGCTATACCAAACCAAAATAAAAGTTTCTTATAAGTCAGAATGGACTCTTACTATACAATGCAAAAGTTGCAAGAATGAGTATTTAGCCATGTAAACTTGAAAACTCAAGATTATACCAGAATCTACACAAACACACACACTCAGACACACACACAAACACACTCACTCAGACACACACACACATCACACATACACACACACACTCAGACACAAACACACATATACACACTCACTCAGACACACACATCACTCATACACACTCACACACACACAAAAATACACACACATTCACTCAGACATACACAGTCACTCAGACACACACACACAGTCACTCAGAAACACATACACACACACAGATACACACACACTCAGACACACACACAAACACACATACACACACACTCAGACACACACACACATATACACACACTCACTCAGACATACACACACAAACACACACACTCAGACACACACACAAACGCACACACACTCAGACACACACACACACACACACACACACACACACACACACACTCAGAGTACTCAATTTTGATGTGACTCTGCTGTAAAAACCCACTGAAAACATAGTAAGGGTGAAGAGCAATTACTGACAAAGTTCCAGACATATAAACATTCTTTTTAACTACAGAAAATACTTCAGATTTCTCAAGTCCCAAGAAACAAGCTTAGATTTGAACTCTTCCTTCTTTTCATTTTCTATAAAATAAGGGTATATGTTCTGTATTCCTATATATTCTGCCATCTCTAATAAGACGATATACAAGATATATGTGCTGCAGAAAACATAATATAATGTAAATGTTGGCCTAATTCACAGGCTTAGCTGAGGGCAGCATCTGCTCACTTTGGGCTGACAGTAACTTTAACCCTCGGATACAATAGCTAACACAGGACATGCGTACACACACATCTACCTTTGAGTCATGATTTTGAAGGCATCGGGGAGGTAGCAGTCTGTGTTCTCCATCTGAAAGGGGTCTGCATCGCAGATCTTGTCGTCCGTCCGACCGTAGTTCGCACTCTCGATCATGATGACGTCACTGCCCGGACACCGCAGGTCTATAGAATAACCCTCACAGGACAGCTCTCGTCTAACTAACCCGAATGGTAAGGCTGCTCTGCTGAAACCTAAGAGAGAATTAACACAGAAAGTCAAGCTTTAACTCAAGTATTAGACAGGTTATTTCATCCAGGCATTGTTAAGAGATATGATATACCTCAGTCAAGAGATGTTAAGAATCCATGTGTTTATTCTTAATTAATAAACTAAAGGTTACTATGAGATACCTTTATACATCTTTATCTGGTCTCATCACCCTTATTAGATATCTTAAAATTACCTTTAAGAGTCATTTTCTCTATAATCTATTATAAATGCAAGTAAATCTCTTTTGTTGGGTAATTTCAAAGATAAACCCAGGAAGAAGTGTCACAAGTGTGAAGGAGTAAGACTGCCGTATACCATCCTTACTGTCTCCCTTTTAATGTACACATATTAAGTGTCAGCATCATTACTGTAAAACAACTTTATATTAGCAGTCCTTCCTAAGATAACTAAAAAGGTTATGACAATAAAAATTCTAGGGCATGGTAGTATTTCCAACTTATAGACACTGTTTGAAAAGTGCCATCATTGAAAAGATTCAGAAAACGAATATTTACAGGAGACAGCACTAAACCAACCCACTCCAATAAATGCCAATGAGCAAAGGTTTTGGAAGTTACGCCATCTACAAAATGAAGTGAATTACCTATTATATTAGCTGGTCTACCTGTAAAACACAAATGCTTAGGTGCTATATGAATCCCACAGGATACAAAGGTCCATGGGCTAGAGAAGAATCTTGAATGGCACAAAAGGATAGAATTTTAAGGGGTTCCACATTATTATCAATGTGTGTGTGTGTGCGTGCGTGCGTGCGTGCATGCGCAAGTGTGCACTTGCACGGGCGTGCACGGTATATGACACATGCACTACGGATGTATGAGTGAAGGTTGGGGACAACTTTCTGTAGTTGGTTCTTGTCTCCACCTCACGTGGGTTCCAGATTCTTAATTCAGGTCATCAGGCTTGTAGGTCAAATACCTGAGCCACCTGTCCAGCCTAATCTATGCCAAAATTCCAAACCAGAGATCCCAAAAATCAGTACTAGAGCCCAAGGCACCAATGATCAGTGACAAGGAAAGCGAAGAAGTGTGACAGCTATGATCAAGAAAGACAAGGGTTCCAGCTGCACTAGAGTGGTACCTGGTGATTCGCTGGCATAGTAACTGCCTCTTCCTGTGCTGCCTGAAGTCTCACTTCCATTTTCTTGCCTGTCTCAATCTACAGCATTCCTTTAATAACTTTAATTTCATGTTTGTTTTGGAGACTGGATCTCCTTGTGCAGCTCTGGCTGGCCTGTAACTTGCTATGTAGATCAGGCTAGCCTTGAACTCAAAGAGATCACAGGCCTCTGCTTCCAAAACTTGGGACTGAAGGTGTTCACCACCCTACCTGTCCGGCTTTACTATCTTATAACAATTGTTTTTAATTACTCTGTGTGGCATGGCTCATCCATTCTAGCAAAATTACAGGAAAAACCCCGACACGATCAGAAGAAACTGCTTCAATTTACAAACTTCAGCCTTGAGTGTTGAGCGTGTCACTAAATCAAAGCCTTCTCTGAGGTGCTGTGTCCTACAGAAACGTTCCTGGACCACGCCCGTAGGATCAGCACAAGCTCAGGCTCAATTCTGCTGAGGAAATGAAATGGGTACTAGATTTCAGAGGGAAGAGAAGAGTTCCATAACCTGGGACACAGCCATGTTCAGGGGCTGTGGCAATGTGCAAGCCTGGGACGTTTGCCCTAAGGTCTATGGTAATAGGAGAACAGCAGACCAAAAGAGGTGTGTGCCAATAACAAGGATGGAGCATGGGCACAGAGCGTGGCAACTCAGGACAAGGTGTGCAGCTGGACCAATGTATACAAGGTGTTTCTTCCACTACAAGGTCCTCTACATATGACCCCTTTTCTGACTCTATTTAAAAAGCAATGTAACTAATACAGTTACATTCGCCTTAGTTAAAAATATTTGTATGGCTTCACCACAGCTCTTATTTATTTGTGGGGAAAGGAATGTGCAAACTCAAACAAGTGACATCAAATAAAATTCTAGAGTGTAACCTACTTTAAGACAGAGGCGATTTGCAATTATAATTCTGTAATAAAAAGTAATAGATCATATTACTATAAAATCTTAGGAATATTAGAAGATGCTACTAACAGCTTAGCTTGGAGCATAATTCACACTTGGTACTATTTTGTTGAGAACAACTGATTGCAAGGTTGTGTGATTTCTAGGCTTTACTTTTGGCTTTTGCCAGTGTGCAGGGTACAGATCTAAGTGAATCTTCTGCTTGTGAAAGTCACTATAGGAACCAGGCAGCTCGACGCCTTGCAGGTTCGTTAATACAGGGAATTTTACAGCCTCTACCACCGTCACCCCAAACAGTCAAGAAACGGAAGGAATGATCAGCATCATTTACTAATTTAGAGGATTCTAGCATGGAATCCACAGGAGGGAAAGAGATCAGGGTTCTGGTGTTTTCACTGCAAAGAATGTAGGAGTTTGTTACGGCAAATGCTGTTTACCTAAAACTATAGCATCCACTGTTTCAGAGAGCCTCTCTTTGCCAGATTGTGGTTCTAGGCTGGTTTCTTTGAACTTTGTATTTACCAACAGGCTTGCTGGCCACATGTCTGTAACACACATCTACCTGTAAGACACTGATAGGGCTCTTTGAATTCTACTACCTCCTACGTACATGTGTGACTTCAATGAAAGGTACAGAATCATAATGAAAGTGGCACTTGTGGAACTGTAAATATATAGAACACTAATACGACATAGACAATGATTAGACGCATACATGTGAATAAACAAAGGTTCCTGAATTGTGTTTGTATGTATGTGGTGTGTTTGTGTGTATATGTGTCTGTGTACATGTATGTTTGTGTAATGTGTTTGTGTTTATGTACATGAATGAATGAATGTGTGTATATGTGTGCCTGTTTGTGTGTATGTTATGTTTGTACATGTCTCTGTGTGTATGATATATACATTTGTGTATTTACGTACATGTGAGTGTGTCTCTGTGTGTATTTACATGTGTTTACATATGTATATGTGTCTGTACATGTATGCATGTGTATGTGTGTGATGTGTTTTTGTGGTTTGTTTTTATGTGTTTGTATGTGCATATGTGTGTGTGATGGTATGGTATGCTTTTGTGTACATGTTCCTATGTGTGTGTCTGTGTATATCTGTCTGTCTGGGGACCTTGAGAACTTCAGCCAATAATCCCTGTGCTTCTCTAAATTCTCACTTCCTTTTCTAAATAGAATCAGTTAAAATTGTGTAAGATTTTGCCAGATTATGATTCTAAACTAACGAGATCCTTCTAACTAATCACATATGTGATTTTTCTATGTTTTTCCCCAGTGGCTCACATTACTCTAGCATGCACTCCGCTTCCCCAAGCTGTGGACCTCAGGCATCAGTAAACGGATGCAGTGTGGTAAGACAAGGCAGATCCCTGGGTACTACCAAGAAAAGTCTCAAAATTGCTTATAAACTCAACAGGCTTCTCATGGCACAGGGGAGTTTCACTCTGGATTAGTGACTTCATTCACAGACTTATGGAAGTGAGAAAAACCCTCGGCAAAAACACAACAGCAAACAACCACCAACAAAATAAATCTGTGCTTCCTTTAGTCACTTCCCATTGCTTTGCTGAAAACTTTGACCTCTGACCTCCCATGTAACTCAGAACATCTTCACTATAACTCAGAGTTTGCACTAAGCAAACTCAATGAGTCACAAAAACATATTCCTGGAAAAAAAGGGGGATACCCTTATTTTGTCCCTGACCTACAGGACAAAATCATCAACACGGTGTGGCTTTCATTACTTCATGGGGCTTTTCTTGTTACATGAGAGGTCATTTTTATACAGGAGTGGCCCTTCTAGAATGTGCATGCTAGAACACTGAAGGTGGCCATGTTAAGTCTTCAGGTAAGTCTTAGAGGGCAAAGTCTGCAGATCTATGCCAGACCCATGCAGGAAGAATTCAGAAGCAGAGTAAACTGGGACATGTGTGTTTGTGGGGAAAATACTAATTTACTTACAGCCGTGATAGAGCGAAGATGTGCCAAGACCGTCTCCAGGGTCTTTTAAAAATAGTTTTATTTCTCTGTGGAGACCTTGTATTTGTTAACTCTCTGTCACCATAATTCCTCTTAATTCTCTAATATGGTTTTATTCTAATCTTTGAACATATCCATAATAGCTACTTTGAAACGTTTACCAGCTAAATCTATCAACCGTGCCTCTCTCCGAGGCAGCATCCACTAGATGCCTTGTCTCCTGAGTACTGCGAAACTTTCTTGTTTGTGTATCTCATAAAATCGTTGTTGAAAACTGTGCTTTTTAGACAATATCCTGCTGGCAACTCTGGATTGGATCTAATCCCTGCCGCCGCCACTGCTGCATACTCTTCCGAGTCTTGCCCAGAGATCTACAGCTCTGACTCTTCCTCATTCTTGTCTCTTCTCTTAGTTTCTTAGCACGTCTTCCTAAGATCATCTGGCACTGTGTACAGCCTAATGGATCAACTAAAGGCGGAGCATCAGGGCTGCCCAGAAGCTAGGAGGCCTCACGACTGTCATCACACGCTTTTGATGCAGTATGTGGGGGAAGGAGGAGTAAACACCGCTAAGGCCTTCTCAGGTCAGCTTTGGAAATTCCTTCCTGTCAACTCCTTTCCTGTCTCTCCTGTCTTGATGCTCTTCCTGGCTAGTCAAGCATGCATGGAATAGATACAGTCCCTATCTTGTCCAGGACTTGCCTGCTGCACATTTCAGAATGCATGTCCACACTGTCCTCTTGACTGAAACCACAATCCGATAGGGCTAGGGAACTAGGAGACACTTTTCCTGACAACAGTGTTGGGTTGCAGTTTCAGTCCTCAACTCCACCCAGCCGCAGCTTAATAGGAACAGCGTTACCCTGCCAAAGAGCTACCCTGGTGCAGTAAGGAGAAACGGGAGTCAGAGGGGGCTTCAAGGTAGAGGGTGTGAGTTCCT